CCCCCCCCCCCCCTCGATCTTTCTCTCTACTTGGTGGAGTCTGGTGGCTTGCAGTGGAACGGGATGCGCTTCTGCTCCAGGAACTCGAGCACCTCCCCCGGGAGCTCGCCCACCACCTCGATCGCGTACATGCCAGGTCGACACTCGCCTATAGCAGTGTCGGTCAACCAACGAATTACCCCCGGCCATCATCAGTCGTTTGCGGCGAGAGGGGGTGACGGGAGATTTGGGAGGGGGGTGGTGGTAAAAAGATCGGCAAATTGTGCTGAAAACCAACGACCCCGCGCACTCTGGGGGACGGACAGACAGCACGCCCTCTATGGTTGTGTTGGTTGAAGGATAAGCGCGTGGTGTGTGACGAAACGCCGTACCCGACAAGCGAGGCCAACGGCTGGGGTCAAGTCAGTCTGCCGTCGCCGCCTACGCAACGGCGGAGAGGAACCACGTTTCACGTTCTACGAAAGACTGTTGTGTCATTGCCGCGTGTGCACCGGTTCGGACAGCAACCGCTCAAGGGCTGTGGTAATCTTTTGGGCGACCTCACGGTGGGGAAAACAACGATAATGAGAGCAACAACAACAGCAACAGCGACAGCAACAGCCGTACCGCGCGGCTAAGTCCTTCGTACGAAACAACAACGAAGGCGTCAATAATTCCACTCACTGATTCGTTGCCACTTTCCTACCCAGCTGGACTCAGGGTCCATCATCGCGATAAGCCTGCGACAGTCATCGCCGGGGTGATGGTGGGGATACACGACCAAGTGCAAACAACGGAGAAGACATGGGACGGGGCCGGCGGGGTGGGTGGCGGGTGGAGTGGTACAAAAACACAAGGCGACGAGATGGAAATTGAGAGTAATATACCAAGGACAGACAGAAACGGGCGCAACGCTCACAGTCGATGGGCCATGTCCGGTTTATGCCTTGTGCTTCGTCATCGAGCTTCTCCGTTGGTTTGAAATGCACAGCACAACTCGTGCTACTCGAGCTATCCGACCGAGCGCGTGCAGCGCGAAATATGCTTGTGACGGTCCATTGAAGCGGGAGGTAAACCAAGTCGTCGTCCGTACTACGGAATCGTCAACACCATGGAAGAAAAATCGTTGGTCACAGAAGCAGCTGCTCCCTTCGCATTTTGATGTATGCAGGTGTTGGAACACAATCACGGAAATACTAGACTGTGTCATGTGTTCACAACGTGGAGGCGTTCTCCTTCTCACCCCGAAAAGTACGTGGTTGTGCAATCCTGAACGCGGGCCTGGTCGCTCTCCATCTGAAGGAACGGGCAGTTCTCGCACCCGTGGTTCACGAACTGCACAAAGCAAGCAAGCGAGCGGTGGGTGAAGAGAGGTACAGTCAATCCTCCAGCAGCAGCAGCAGCAGCAGCGGCGGCGGCAAGGACATATACATACGGCGGGGCAGGGGTGGGAGAGGCGATGGATAGATGGCCCAAGGTCACACGTTCGAACGAATCCCGAGTGGCCACAATAATCCGATCCAACGATGCGCCAAGTGCTTCAGTCCGTGGTGTAGAATAGGGTATGCGGACCCCGTCGTACTGCCTCTGGTTTGGGTGCACAGGTTCAAGATTAGAGGGGAGCGGAGACTCTGCAGTCTTCGCGTCAAAACAGATTACACATGGAGGTGATTCTTCGATATTCCAATCCACCTCCGAGCGTGCAGACGTGCCCCAAAAACGCTAGCACTCATCCCGCTTACGAATTTCGGAAACCGTGAATGACGCGGTATACCACCCCCCCTCCATCTCCGACCCGTCTGCCTGTCTGGTTGGCACCCATTCCACGACGAGGAGTGTTCATACCAGCCCGAATTGCAGGAAAGTGTCGTCCGACGCCTCCATGGTCAGACCGTCTTCAGAAGTCGAAGGGGTCGGATTCGGGCGCCGATGCCTATCGATGCCGGGGGCTACACGCTACACGCGTACATAGACATGTACCTCTGCAGCAAGAAGGCCTGTACAAATAGTTGGTACACAAGTAGTGCATCAAAGTTCTCTTCCAAAGCACCCGATACGAGATAAAAGTGCAACGAAGGGACGAAATCGTTATTATTTTGTATCTACGGGTATGCATGGCACGCAACACACACAACCCAACACACACACACACTGACACACACACGACCTCCCTTGGCCAATTCGTGTGAGATCACTTCCACCACGCTACTGAGCGTGCGTGGTGGAAGGTAGTAGCAGCAGCAGCGGTAGACTGATGGATTGACGTGGAATCGCTTTGCACTGGAGCCTCCAGTCGCATCGGCAATGAGTGGTGTCATGAACCAAGATTTGGCACCACCATCACCCGTACCTGGACCTGCGCCACGATGCCCAACGGAAGTACGGTATTCATGTCCCCTCTGCATCAGCGAAGGATCAACGAACCTGACGGCGAGGAATCTGGCTACACACCAAAAACGTCAGCATAAAGGTCAAGGAAAGGAGCTACTACTCAGTTTGTCTCCTCCTGGATCCTTGCGCTCGAGCAGCCAGGCACCTGGTTACGCCGCATGTGGCACATGCGGCGACCTTTTCTCTCCGCGCACCAAGCATTGTTGCGAACCAGATACTACATTGTCTCCATCTCTCTCTGGGTCGTTGCAGCCACCGCAAGAGGATGATAACGACAGGCGGCAACTCCTATTACCGTGGGACCTCGACGACGTCAGCAGTGCCCTGGATCAGGTTCGACAAGATACTCTTGAAACGTCAATTTTTTCGACAGTCAAACACATCGATCCGCAACTGGCGAAAGTATTTTGCAAACACTTCCAACATGTCGTCATCCTCTTCGTGCAAGCACTTGGAGCTGTACACATAGATCAGCAGAAGTCAGATACCTCAGATCTGTCTCCTCTTGCAGCGGAAAGATATGAAGTAGCACGTGTTGAAAGACAACTCCAACTTGTCCGAGCAACAAAGTTGCTTCATCTTACCCCAGCATTGCATGGATCGACTGATGGAAGGATGAACAGGGTATCCCGATTTAACCGCTTTGCAAATGGTGATCTGAGTGAACCTATCGCCTGGCTCATGATGTACGAGAAGAATCGTCGACTTCAGTATTATGCGGATACTGAAGACAATCGCCAAAGAAGAGCCACAAGACTTGCGCACGAAAGCGGAGGCATCACTAAAGCTGCCAGTGCCTTAATTTCCCCAGCACCTTCACCGCGCAACAACGACACGCTGGAGCATCTTCGCAACCTACACCCTAACGAAGATCCTGACGATATTGCTACTGCGTGGGATTCCAGCATCAAAGCTGCGGGAGATCGTATAAAAACGCACAAGATTGACTCCGTCGCCGAAGCTGATGAACCATTCGAAATCAAGTTCATCAAGCAGACGGTAAAGAAAGCCAACCCTCAGAGTGCTCCGGGGCCTGATGGTCTTCGTTTTTCGTATCTCCAAGCTGGTGGGATGAGTGATTTTTTTACTGAAACCTTGGCGGACTTCAGCTTTAAAGTCTTCTACTACGGAGACGAGCTTCCGGATTTCTTTTGGAACCTCCACACCAGTGCCAACCTTTCAGCGCTGGGAGAGAAAAAACGGCCGATTGCAGTTGGAGGGGTTTTGCGTCGCATCATCAGCGGCAGCTTCTGCCGCCAGTACAAGGGAGGAATTGCGAACATCTTCGAAGCAGCAAATCAGTTCGGAGGTGGTGTTCCAGGAGGAGTTGAGATAGTGGCTTCCACAGCAGCCCTCAGCCACCAGCAAGGCAGCACCATTCTCTCCTTTGATGGGAAAAACGCTTACAACAGCATGCGCAGATCTTCCATCTTGCCAGCAGTGGCCACTCATACGCCACACTTGGT